AATGATCTTTAAAAAAGCATCATATGACCCCTTTAAATTAAAATGTATTAAAGTTAAAAGTTAAATTAAATGCATTTATTTTAATTAACTTTTCTGACCCACATAAGTATGACTTAAGTACATTTTCATATGTATGTTACATAATTCTGTTGTCTTCTTTGAAGTATGCTTCAAGTATACTGTCTGATGTACTGACAAGCATTTATGGTAAATTGCAGGCAGTGAAGTTCGAGTGTCACCTCAACAATGACTTGGCGATATTTCTGCTGTCTCGAGCTCTGGGAAATATCAATATTGCACATTATCTTTACTGGTAATGTTGTTTATTAAAAGGATCATATACATTTTAAGAGTGTTCAGTTCATTACGATATTTAATCACCATTAATCTCATAATTTTTTATTTTGGTGGAGAAAGTTTTGAGGTCTGAAACACACTTTCTTAAAGGGATAATTCACCCAGAAATAAAATTTCTGTCATTATTTATTTATCTGTTTAAGAATATGGTCATTTGTTGAAATTCAGAATGAGAGCATACTGTGATACGTAAGTGAGCTTAAGATTTAGACAAAGTCTGCTGGGGTCTGTTTGGATTTAGGCTGCTGAGGGATGCCGTGCAGGACCCAGCGTTCAGTCAGCGTTATGACCGCATCCTCGGCACGCTGCTGTGTCTGTGTGGGACTGGCTTGAGGGCTGAGCTTGAGAAGCAGACCAGGCTTGTGCAGCTGCTGGGCGCTCTGGCCGAAAAAGTGCGGCAGGCAAACAACTCCACCCGACAGGTAAGCCATGACTGGCATTAATTAAAGAATATGTTTTATGATTATTAACCTGTGTAAAATGCATCCCAAAAATTGTGTAACATTCCTTTATAGTTATATTATTTTATTTAGAAGTTTAACACACACATTGTCCGTAGATGTGGCTACACTACTGTTCAGAAGTTTGGGGTTGGTAAGATTTTTAATATTATTGAAAGAAGTCTCTTATGCTCACCAAGGCTGCATTTATTCGATCATAAATACAGTGAAAACAGTAATATTGTACATACTGTATATATACTGTATATATATTGTATAATATCATATAATATTTTAAAATATCTTTTATTTTTATGACAAAGCTGAAATTTCAGTGCCACATGATCCTTCAGAAATCATTCTCATGTGCTGATTTGGCGCTCAATAAACATGTCTTAATATTAGTGTTCTTTTGTCAACACGACGAATTATAAAAACTCCTTTCCCACGATATCGTTTTCACAATTATTTTATGAATAGGAAGTTCAAGTTTTTATTTTATTTTTCACGTTTGATCAATTTAATGTGTCCTTGCTGAATAAAAAAAATAGATAATGTAGATCTGTGCCAGCAGCAGAATCTTGTGCTCCTTTATTTTAGTTGTAGGTTTTATTTTCTTAAATTCAGTAAGGATCAATGAGTTCAAACCAAAGGCTTCTGGGAAACAAGTGCAGGATTTTTTGAATTGTTCAACAACTAGTTCCAAAATCTAATTTAATTATACTGTTCAAAACATGATCTGAATAAACATCAGATAAAGGAAAGGTTACATAAGTATACAAGGAATCTCTTGTTTTTTCAGTTTTCTTTTGGGTTTGAACAAGAGCTGGGTTTGACTTTCAGTCCTAGCAAAACACTTAAGTGTTTTTCTAATAAGTACAATGTCCTGTGACAGATTATTGGATCAATGGGTGATTGTATTTGGATGAACCCTTGATCCCTCCAGTTCATCCAGTCAATATTGATATATTGTCTTGTACTGATACGCAATATGGCAAAAATATATGGAAACCAAAACACCATGCCAATAAGTGCATGTTGAGCATTTATTTTAAAAATTGGCACTTCCATTCAGGCACAAGATCATCAGTGGAGTCAGATATTGATCTGGTTCACATTAGGTGTTCAAATTCATTCCAAATGTGTTCAGTGGGGTTCAGATTTGGGTTTTGTACAGGCAAGTCAAGTGCTAATCAATGGCTAAATCATTTTTTTTATGGATCTCACTTTGCACAAGGGTTTTGCAAGGGTCCTCCCCAAAGCATTGCCTAAAAGTGGGATGCGCACAATTCTCAAGAGTGTCATTGTGTTCTGTTGCATTAAGATCTTTCTTCAGTGGAATTAAAGGGCCTAGCCAAACATGCTATCAGAAGGGGGTGTCCACATACTTTTGGTCATGTAATGCCTCATCTTATATCTCCCATGTGAACAAGTGGTTTACATACAGATGGAAAGCTCTTTGTAATGCTCTTTTTTACTTTACTTGTAAACACATTTTATCATGTTATGGCTTTGTCTGTCTTGGCTAAATAGAGTGTTGCAGGAATGAGTCCTAAAACCCAGAAACATATTAAAGATTTTGTCCTTCCAATTCCATCGTTCTGAAGTCATTGGGTTTTTTGAATGGGCCATTGTTTAAAGGTCTGAAATAAGGTCTGTGGTTAACGCAAGTAATTTTATCCTATGACATAAAATGCATCAGTAATTCACAGTCATGATTTACAATAGGCGTTTATGTGTCTGTTGCTAACAAGTGGCTAAATGGGACTACAGAAGTTGTCGGGGACATTGAACAGCTCGGCTATTTTAATATCGTTGATATACTGTTTTAGTTTTTGTTAATATTTAGACATTTTTTTTTTACATTGTTTTCAATTTAATTTTAGTAATTTTGTTGTATGTTTTTGTAATTTGTGTGTTTGTTGCCTTTGCGACTAACTGAAAATCAGTTTTTGGTAACACTTTACAACAAGGTTCCATTAGTTCATGTATTAACTAACATGAACAAACAATGAACAATACATTTATTACAATATTTATGCATATTTTATATGTTAGTTCACCCAAAAATGAAAATTAGCCCGTGAATTACTTGCCCTCAAGGCATCCTAGGTGTATATGACTTTCTTCTTTCAGATGATTCCAGTCGGAGTTATATTAAAAACTGTCTTTGATCTTCCAAGCTGTTTAATGGCAGTCAGCGCAGAGGGTGTTGCAGTGCATCAGTCCAAAAGAAGTGAAATAAAGCACATCCATCCATATTAAAATTGCCTCACACGGCTGCGCAATGCCGACATCTTACGTCATCCTCCCAGAGCTGCTT